GCGTGCGTGACGCGCGAGGCGTGTGGTACGTGCGCGACGGGCGCAGGGCGCTGGCGGCGCGGCCCGAGCCGGGTTCGTTTGCTGAATCCTTGTAGAGGAGACGTAGAAGAGAGAGCGGAGCTTTTGCGAACTGCAAAACTCCCGAAGTGCGTCATCTAGATAAGGCAGTACTTCCGTTTTCTGTCCTTCAACGAGTTTATCTTTTCATCAAAACAATTGTACACAGGCCCATTGGCCCCGGGTCTCGGTGGCTTTTGGAATGTGTCAGGCTAACCTGAAAAATTAATGTATTTTCAAACATTTTGTTTTCTGTTAAACATCTAATCATTTGCACCCCTTACCCACCCACACGACCAGAAATGTCCCTTGCTTTCGCTTCCTACTGGTCTTATTCTTAAAATAACCCCGGGAAATGGGAAGGAGTAGAAAAGGCTCACTTTCGAACGACCTGGTTGGTGTGAGCAGAGCGTTTCCCTTTTTGTAAGAAGATGGGACTGGAATAAACGATCCTTCGAGTTCTAACAACCTTTAGTCCAGGCATGTGGGCCAGTTCCAGGTGGACATGTTAAAAGGATTAAAGTGAAAGCAGGATGGCAGAGTGACACGCTTCCCCGTGGAAGAACCACGAAGGAATATCTCGCTTTCAGCTACTTGGCCTCCGACTTGTTTTTGTTAGGCGGTGCCGCGGACACCTATGCTCCGCGGTGATTGGCCTGCAGGAGGGTCCTCCCGTCTGTCCAATATGGCGGCGCCCAGTGGCGGTGTGAACTGTGAGGAGTTCGCCGAGTTCCAGGTGATGGGGTTTTCCTCAAGTGAGAGGCGTGCTCTCCTTTTGTCCCCAGACCCTATTGCACCTCTGGCCTTGGAGATAGTATGGGCCTGTAGTGGGAAAAGCTGGCAGCTCAAGGGTCTTTTTTTCCCGAGCCATTGGAGGTCATGGGGGCGCGAGTTTGGCCTTGGGAAGCGAGGCTGCTCGGTGCGGGTAGGAGGTTCGGGGGTCATAGGTTCTCCTGTGTATCGCAGGGCTTGGCTTGGAAAGTGGGTCATTCTGCGGTGATGAATCCGAACTCTAGCTCTGTGGGCAGGGGTCGTAGCTATCTTGTAGCAGTTCCCTGAACTCGATTTCCAACCTTTGCTGTTCTCTTTTAAGTTGAGTTTTTAGGGAAGGAAGCAAATGAGAGACCTTACTTACTAAATAAAAACTTGGTACAATTTCCTGTTTGGTAAGAGAACGTTTGAAAGCTTGCAGGATTAAGTTTAAATCCTGTTTTGGTGCTATTGGCTTCCTAACCCTTAGAGAAGATGAAACATTTAAGGAAAAAGCTGAGTTTTTATTTTTAAACATAAGAGATCTCGTGAATTCAAGAATAGGATCTGTTTTTTTTTATTAACTTGCTATGAAACTATTTGTTATGTTGCTGTCATAAATGCCCTACTGTCTAGTTAGAGTCGAATTAAAAAATCAGAACCTTTTAAATGGTGTTTTTAACCAGATACTGAAAAATCATTTCACATATCTTTGACCTATGTATAGTAAGCTTTGTTCTCTGATGGTTTGTAGGAAGTGGTATTTACAGTCTCAGCAGACTGACTTATTTAACAGCATCTGGCCAAGGAATTTATATGGGGTTTGCCACCATTATTTCTCCACTTCAGCTGCTCTTTGGACTAGATGAGCCCATTGGCAGCTGAACTCAGATGTGACCATTATATTCAATAAATACAAGCACTTGTAAAAAAATTTTAACAGGCTGGGCGTGCTGGCGCACACCTGTAATCCCAGCACTTGGGAGGCTGAGGCAGGAGGATCTGTGTGAGTTCGAGATCAGCCTGAGCTACATAGTGAGTTCCAGGTCAGTCTCAACTACATAGTGAGACCCTGTCTCAAAAAAACAAAACAAGACAAAAAAAAATTTAACAGGCTAGAAGAAATGCACTGGATTACAAAATATATTAAATATGCAAGGTTAACTAGTCCATTTGGCCTTGTAAAACTGGTATGAAGACATTACTTGAGTTAATAAGCTGATGTAATTAATGGTAACCTTAAGATCTGTAAGAAAGAGCACTAATTAGGGAATTAGATGCCTACTATGGGCTCTCCTACTGCTTCTGTCATTAACAGCTTTGTGAACTTGAGCTAATCACTTAACCCCTTTGGAAGTTTACTTTAATCTCTAAATAAGATTGTGTTAAGTGACATTTAAAATTGCTTTCATCTTCTAATTATTTAATCTGTAGAACCAAATTTCATAGGCTTTCTTTGATCTAATAAAACATCCAAAGATCATAAAATGAATCTCAGTGAAACTTAGAGAAAGTTTCTCTAGGGCTTTTCCAATTTATAATGGAGAATATCCCAAGTAGATGTCAGGATATCTGGTTTTCTGAAACTGGCCTTGGACTATCTTTGTTCTTTTGGCTTGTTTTGTTTTTTGAGATAGGGTCTCACTATATAGTTTCAGACTGGCTTTGAAATCACTATGTAGCCCAGGCTGGCTTTAAACTCTGGGCAATCCTCCTGCCTCAGCCTTCTTAGTGCCAGGAATATTGTTTAACATTCCTTGTAAATGACTATTAATAATATTTGCCCTACTGCCTTAGAGACAAGAGAACATAAGTGAAAGTGCTATAATCTCTGCACTTGGGAGGCTGAAGCAGGGGGATCGCTGTGGGTTTGAGGCCAGCCTGGGCTACATAGTGAGTTCAAGACCAGCCTGAAGTACGTAGTGAGACCCTGTCTCAAAAAAAAGGTAACATTTTAGTATGATGTTTAAATGTAAATGAATTTGTCACAAAATATTAAATATTTTTGAAAGTGACCGAACTGTTGGGTTTTGTATGTAAGCATCCTGAATGTGAAAAACACTGCACTGAATACTGTGGAAGAAAACCAAAATTGGGTTTTTTTTTTTAAATTTTAAAAGATTATGTGGGCTTTAGTCAGAATTATAAAAATGTTTTAAAAACTATAGAGTAGTTGAAAGAATTGTACAGTAAATGTTTATATACCCATCTAGAGTTCTGCAATTAATAATTTGCTATTACCATATCCATTTATCCATTTTTCAGCCTATCCATCAGTCTACTTTTTATTTTAATCACATTTCAAATTAAACTGCAAACATTAGTATGCTTCACTCCTAAACTTGTCAGCATGCATATTGTAACTAGAGTTCAGTATCTGTTTACTATTTTGGAGAGAGAAATTTTGTGTACAATGAAATGCACAGTCTTTAGGAGTACTGGTCAAAGAGTTTGACAATGACATATACCTGTAACACAAACCTCCATCAACAGAGACTGATGTTATCACCTCCGAAAGTTTTCTCATCCTTCCCAGTCAGTCCCTACTTTTGTCTTTCCTGCTTCCTTCACAATCATTCTGATTTTTTTTCATATAGTTGTGTATTAAGGTTTAAAGGGTTTTAGTGTTTTAAGCTTTGGCAGTTTTTCTTCCAATTTAAAAATTAAGGTAGCACTCCTAGAAAATAGCTTTCCAAAGTGAAATAAAGTATAAAAAAAGGATGTTTAATATTGAGTGCTTAGAGTCCATTTTAACATTTATTCAATTTGTTGGGTACTATGTTAGTTGGCTAGGGCTGCTATAATAAAATACTCCAGACAGGGTGGCTTAAACAATGGAAATTTATTTTCTCACAGTTCTGGAAGCTAAAAGTTTAAGATCAAGGTACTGGCAGGGTTGATTTTTGGTGAACCCTCCTTCTGGTTGCAGACGGCTGTCTTTTCACATGACTGCTTCTGTATGCTGTACAGAGACAGAAAGGAATATCTCTTACAAGGACACCAGTTCTATCAGATTATAGTCCCACCTTTATGACTTCTGTTACATTATTTATTTATTTACATTACTGGGAATTGAACCCAGTGCTTTTGCACTGAGCCACATCCCTAGCCTATTATTATTATTGTTTTTATTTATTTTGAGACAAAGTCTTGCAAAATTGCCTAGGATGGACTTGAATTTGTGGTCCTCCTGTCCCAGCCTCCTGGAGTGCAGGGATTATAGGCATGCACAATGGGGTCTATGTTGCCCAGACTTGAACTGAACTCTAGTCCTCTTGCCTCATCCTCCCCAGTAGCTGGGACTGTGTCTATGTGCCACCACACTGAACTTTGCCCTCTATTTAATCTTCATTGCTCTCTAAAGGCCCTTTCTCCAGGGGATTAGTGATTCAACAGGCACTTTGGAGGATAAATAACTACCAGCTACCAGGCATTTGGGGATATCTTAGTGGACAAAGTATATAACATGGAACTTAATTCATGTAGGGTATAAAACATGTAGAAGATTCTGAAGATATGAATGAAATGCTCTAGAGTTTAGAGAAATAAGAGATAACCATTAGGTTGGATCTGAGAGGTAATAGTATACTAGGCCAAAAAAATTATGTGCAATCATGCATCCCTTTACAACAGGGTTATATTTTAAGAAATACATCATTAGATAATTCTATCATTGTGTAAAAAACAGACTGTACTTACACAAGCTTAGGTGGTGTAAGTCAGCACTCTGTTTCTTCTTAATGCAATGAAGAGGTACAGTAAACAAAATATATGAGACCACTATACGTAGAATAGATTCAAAACTAATATAGAGTAAATAC